GATGGGGCTTGTTGACTCAGCAAAGAAAGGGAAGATCGAACTGCCATATGGCTCAAGGCCTAAATGATGTGCAAGGGGCCCAGAAAACATTTATTAACATTTAAAATCTATTTAGAAGAGTGAAAAAATTTGGAAGAGTGTAGGTGAAAATGAACATTCTTTTTTCATAAAGGTTTTATTTATTTTCAGAGAGAGGGGAAGGGAAGGAGAAAAACAGAGAGGATATATCGATGTGTGGTTGCCTTTCACATGCCCCCTACTGGGGACCTGGCCCACAACCCAGGCAAGTGCCCTGACTAGGAATAGAACCGGGTTTGCAGGCCTGCACTCAATCCACTGAGCTACACCAGCCAGGGCTTTGAAAATGAGCATTCTTAAAAGCTAAGACAAAAGGGTTAGTCCAGAAGTAACTACAGTATTTGACTAAAGTCACTATGATAGACCAGGAGAAGAGGGAATGTTTTGGTAAATATCCTCAAAAATAAGTAGCTACCTTGGAAAAGCAGAAATGGGCAAGAGTTAATTTTTAAAAACAACAAAAAAAGACATTATCATGCAATTTGGATTTCCAATATTTCCACTTGCAACTCTACTTCTCTGATCTCATCTTTAAAAAAAGAAAAGAACCCTACATTTGGATCTATAAGGAAGACCATTTCAAAACCCCAAAACAAAGACTACTTTTTAGTGAGTTTCTTTTTGGACACAAGAGGCTTCCATAATAACTCTCCCAAAACTACTTTTCAAATTATCTATTATCATTCACTCCCTCCTTACTTTTCTTCTGTCTAAGGAATGCAATTTTATCCTATGGTCTTAGAAACTATTTTATTTCCAAAAGAAATAAAAAAAGATTATTAGTTGATTGCCCAACAACACAATGTTAACTAATTAAAATGCAGTGATCCCAGCTCAGTAGAAAAGACAGATTTGTGTTCACTCTTCAATTTTACAGCTCTAATTTATCTAAGATACAAAAGCAATCAAGTGAATGACACAGAAACAAAAAGAAAACAAACAACAATAAAATTGAATTTGTGACTCAGAAAGGTTCTTAAGAGTTAAATAATTTGTAATCTCATAAATGAACCTGCCTAGATCACAGCTAAAGAACATGGTAGATTCTTTAAAGGTCTTGGAAAATTTATAGCAATAGCATTCTTGGAAAATATTTTTAGGTATTCAATTGCTAGCAAACAATCAGAATATTCATGGGAAATATAGTACATGGGAAATATAAAAATATGGAATCCATATTGTCAACAAGAAACAAAATGTTACATATAATGTAAGAGGGTCCACCAACCCTCTCAAGTTTGTGGGCCTGAGGTTAGAAATTTGGATCCCACAGAATCCCTGACTGTACCAAGAGAAGAAAGGGGGACCCCAGCAGTTCTAGGGTTCACCTGGGATAAGTCTCTGTTTCAGTTTGTTCACTTCGTTAATGCAGGAGGCCATGGGATCCCTTCCTTTGGGTTTTTTCCACTATTAATATTTTTCAGATTTGGATCTAGCCTTCTCACTATATAGAAATTTTACTTAAATTCAGAAGTTTTAGCTCCATGACATTTGGAGTTCAATTATTTTCTGTGCCCTTTTAGAAAATGGAAATAAATGGTAACTAGTGTTGATAATACTGTACTGTATGATTGAAATTTCCTAAGAAAGCAGAATTAAAATGCAGTGATACCCTCACAAAAAAAAAACCCAAACATACATGAGGTGATAGATGTGTTAACTGGATGAGTGGATCCCTTTCACAATGTATACGTATACCAAATCATCATGATGAACACTTTAAAAATATTACAATTTTATTTGTCAATTATATCTCAATACAGCTAAACAAAAATAAAACCACAGATTTTTCTATTTCTAGAGGAAAGGTGAATTACAACACATGCAAAACAGCTACCTCCTAAATTAATAGATATAAAAAATATCAATAGCTTATTTGTAAAATTTTTCCACCCTAGTGTTAGAAGGTTCTGTGTCTAACATGTTTTCAAATAGTACATAACTTATTAAGCATTCAATAAGTATTCCTCAGTGTTGTTAAAATTATAAAAGAAAACGGGAGGAAGACTCTGCCCAGCCCTACTGTATTTCACGTCCTGGTGAAGAGTGAATGAGAAAGTGTTCTGTCTGCTAGAGTACACATTGCAAGTTCAAACAGCTGTATTGTTTGATCTGCACGAATATGAAATTTTTAAATTGAATTAGTTACCTAGATTTCTACTTCTCTTGAAATACTAAATGATCTGGGAACACTGATTGCACTTGTATATGGCCAAAGCTGGATGGGGCCGAACAACAGCTGCTCCCTTGAAATGGGTCCAGAAGGCTTCGGTGTGTCACAGTCCTCATCAATCCCTATTGATTCCCAATATGGGAAGCAGGACATCCACTGTCATGCTTTATCTTATACCTGCCCTGAACTTTATTTGTCTGGTCCACATAGGCATACATTTAGATTTTTGTTTCTGTTTCTGGCTCCAGATCCCAAACTTATTGGCTGCTGATTAATCTACTTAGTAACCTATCAGTCTAACTTCCTTTCAGTAATCTTTTTCAACATTACTCTCTTTAATAAAACAAATGTTAATATGGAAAAGGCAGGAAATGGCATCTATAAACATTAATGTACAATATAGCATCAAATATTACTTTTACTTTTACTTACTGTCTATTTTTAAAAACAAATGTCCTGAAAGAAGACAGTGCTTCCCCATGTTACAAAGTCTTTTCTATAGCTGTTTTATTCGAGCTTTATCCTTTCTCCTGGCTCACCTCATAAGCGGCACCCAGATCCTGGAATTTCTCCTGCGCTTGTGGATCATCAGGGTTCCGGTCAGGGTGAAGCTGCAGGGCTAGTTTCCTGTAGGCCTTTTTAATGTCCTTTATAGAGGCACTGCGAGGCACCCCCAAGATCTTATAGAAATCTCTCCTGGGGAGTGAGAAGGAAAGGATACTTCATGAAAAAGTTATGTAATACATTTTTAAAAGTGAAATTTTTTAAAATTTAATTTTTATTTTTGATTTTAGAGAGAGGGGAAGGGAATAAGAAAGACAGGGAGAGAAACATTGATGTGAGAGAGAGACATCAATTGGTTGCCTTCTGTACAGCCCCCAACCAGACTGAACCTGCAACCCAGGCAGGTGCTCTGACTGGGAATTGAACCCACAACCTTTTGGTTTACAGGACAATGCCCAACCAAGCTACACCAACTGGGGCTACAAAGGTACATTATTAAGAATATTTATACTGATATTTTGTTTAAACACCTTAATATACCTATTGCTTTAAGTGTAAAAAGTACTAACAAAGACAATAAAGCATGACCTAGGAGAAGTTGAATTTTTTTTTAGTTAAGATGTTTTACAAAAAAAAAATGACAAAGTTTAAGCATATATGCAGAGGGGGAAAGCTTTTAAGAAAATAACAAACACTTAAATTTCAAAGATCTGCTAGGTTAAGACTTTCTCTATTTAGAGCAATTAATTGTTAGAAACTAAGACCTTACCATTCCCCACATTCTAAAATATAAGCCTGGCATATCATATCCTGTGGTCACCAGGCTTATAGCATCTTAAAAGCTAGAAGGATCCTCAAGAGTTCAGGTGGTCTTACTCCCTTCATACAGGAGTCACATTATTATCCTCATGTTACAGATGTGAATTTAGGTGGTTCCTTCAAGGTCACATAATTCAAAAGTGTGGTGGGGGTGGGAGGGCTAGGATCCTGGTCTGCTACCTGTTGGTAAAATGCTTTTCTGGCTCATAATACCATTCAGCTTCTCAAAATGTACCATGGAGAGAGACAGGCATGATGACAGCTTAGGCTCAAAATCTCAAGAAGCTATACAAAGGCTTTCCAAAGGGTCTGCCTTTTTTCCCTCAATTTAATTTCCTTCAGTCCCAGCAAGACTTCCCTACCTGTTCCGCTCACTTCCTCACTCAGCCTGGCACTAACCTACCTACTTTAATGTCAACTCCCCAATGGCTCGTTGCAGGCTTAACATTATATAGCCCTTTTCTCCAGCTCACAGCCCCCCTGCCCCCTGCGTTGTGTTTAGCACTGCATCCAGCTCCTACCCCTCCCGACAAATCTAGCTCTATAAGACCTCTGGCTCTCAGTAAGTCCCTGTCACTCGTGTCACCCATTGCTCTCCTCTCCACCCCAACAACCTGGTCCACACTATCCATTCCTCCGTCCTACCGTCTCACCATAGCAACGCCCCCTCCTCCTCCTTCAGGCTCTCCCAGCCAGAACTGACTCAAGAGCCCCATGCCGCGCGGATGCCCGTTCCTCACCCGGCGATCACGGCCCCGATGAGGTACAGCAGCAACAGGCAGAAGGTGCCCAGGTTTTGCGGGGCCATGGTTTCTCTGTGCCAGCCCCTATGCCGGCCCCTGTCCCACACACTCCTCAATGTCTCCGCAGCTGCAGCCGCTGCGTCGGCTCTCCTGCCCACCCGGCCTTAAAAGGCAGCCGTGCGCCGGGGTCTTCTACTGGGTCTGGAGAGACGCAAGCTGGCCCCCGGCTCTGCCAGTCCACTTCCCGGGAGTCCCGAGTCCCGGTGAGAGAAGCCCCCTAGCAGATGAAAGCCAATCGCTGCTCAGGACATCACACGCGGCCGGCTCCGCGCAGCCAATCAGCGCAGTACACTTCACCTCCGAGGCGGCCGGAGCGGCCAGTTAGGCTTCGGAACTACAGTCGCACTTTCTAGCCAATTAGGAGGGGGAACGTCAGAGAGTCGCGCCGCCGCAGGGATCCGCTGAGCCCTGGCCCCTGCGAGTCCTAGAAAACTACGTAAAGGAGCGAGGGGGAAATTAGTGCCCCAAGAGGGTATCTGAGGTACGCGAAAATACCCAGCCCGCCTCCTCTGACTTTCGCCCAATCACGAGGCTTCTCTTTCAGTTCTGACCAATTGTGGAAGGCAAGTTTGATCCCCTTTACCAGTCTCGGAATTTCATTCATGTGTAACTACCTGCAGGATGCGGGGGCGAAGGGATAAGGGTGAAATGGGCGGGGACAATCACCCCAAGCCCTTGGTACTGCGAACGCCCTGTTCAGGATTTCTTATTTTACCTTTTCCTGGCAGCTCAGGGAGAAATGGTCTCTGTTTCACAGAGAAGAGCCGGTGGAGGTGGACAGACTGAAGTTCGGATCCAGCTTCCACCACTTACTAGCGGTGAGCCTAAGCTTCTTACCCACCAGTCTGAGCCTAAGCTTCTTTATTTGGAGATTTAATGTATTTACTGGCAGTGTTGTGACATTTTATTTTTTTTAAGATTTTATTTATTTTTAGAGAGAGGGGAAGGAAGGGGGAAAAAGAGGGAGAGAAACATCTTGTGCGGGATACATTGACTAGTTGCCTCTCGCAGGCCCCTAACTGGGGGCCTGGCCAGCAACCCAAGCATGTGCCCTGACTGGAATCCAACCAGCTACTTTTTGGTTTGCCGACGTCAGTCAATCCACTGAGCCACACCAGCCAGAGCACTGTGTGGCATTTTAATAGGAGAAAAATCTTTAAACCATCTAGTACAGTGTCTGGCATGTAGTAAGTACGCAGTGAGTAACTATTATTAGTTATTAAGAACTCTGATTCCCCACGCCCCCGCCTACTTTTGCTTATCTCAGTAACCGCACCACAAAACTTGATTACGACAAAACTCTAGGTGTGTTCCTTGATTCCTGTGTTGCATCCCCTATCTAAATGTTTACCTATAAACTAGCCCGCATCTGTCCACTGCCTTCCACTGCCTCCCTGGGCGAGGTCACATCATCCCCCACCTGGCTAACTGGTCTTCCTGCCAGCACTCTTAATATCTCGTGTTCACTCCTGCCCACCCCACCACCATGATTTTTTACAAACATACCAGATCTTATCATTCCCCTGCTTAGAGGCCTCAGATAGCTTTTCATTGCGCTTAGAATAAATTCCCAATCTTTATGGTAGATTGTAAAACCTTATATGTCTCAATAATGCTGGAAAATTTTTGTCAAAGAAAACCTTATATGATACGTACATTCACTTACTCAATATACTCCTTACCATGTTCCAGCAAAACTGCATTCCTTTCTCTTTTTTGAATACACCAAGCTCATTCCTGCCTAAGGCGTTTGTTCTAGCTGTACTCTCTCTGCCTTAAACACTCTTCTCTCAGATCCTCACATGGGTGACTCCTTTTTAAACACAAATAATTAGCTAAAATACCACCACCTCAAAAAAGACTTCCCTGGTCAACCAATCAAAAATAGCCCCTGCTGAATCCCTTATTCTTACACCACCTTGCCTTATTTTATTGTTTCCATCCCTGCCTCCCATACTCAGGTACACTGGAATGCCAGTGTTATCAGAGCATGAAACTGATGTTCTGTTCTTAGCTGTATAGAAGGTACCTTAAAACAATAAGTAAATGTTGCTTTGACTGTGATCTTTTTACGCTGACTTCTTATTCTTCAGGCCTCAGCTCAATTTTAATACTGACTCCCTCCCCCAATAATCACTGTCTGATGTCCTATTTTATTTCCTTAATATGTATTATCCATTCTCCCTTATTAAAATATGTACCTCAACAAAGCAAGGATCTTTTATCTGTTTTAATTCTGTAATCCTAGCACTATATGCCATGCACACAGAGGAGCTCAACAAATAATTGCTGTTGCAGACCAAAGGCATAGAAAGAATGTGCTCAAGGTCACTGAGCTACTTAGTGGTGCAGCCTGGATCATAACCTAGATCTGTTTGAGTAGATTGCCCCTGCACTTTACTCCTTGACTCATGCAGAGTTCAAAGAAAGATAAGGCTGTGCTTTCTGAAAGATGCCTACTAGAGGAGCCAAGCTCTGTAAAAGAGAAACTAATTGTATTTTATGGTCTCTTTACCTTTTGCATCTCCCATACCTAAAGAGACCATAAACGAACTAAGAAGCAGGAAATGGCTAAAAATCATGAAATGGAGGTGTCACAGGTGTGCACAGGTGTGCACAGGTAACCAGGTTCTTAGTGATCGAGAACAAAGAATTGAACCGAACACACAAAGTTTATAGCATAAAGAAAGAGGGGAGGTTTATTAAGTGATAGTACACACCACAGGACACGCGAGTGAGCCAGCTCTGAGCAGAGGAAAAAAAAGGGGCACGTGGGCTGGGGGATTCTATTCTTATGGGGCAGAAGCCCCCTGCTAGTCTTTGGCGGGCTTTTCCTGCGCAGGTACAAGGAGTTGGATTTCAAAGCTACTGCGCATGCGTGGTTTCCCATGACTTTCTTGATTGGCTACTGGAGAAGGGAGTCCCACAATGTTATTTCATTATAATGATATTATAATGAATCAGGGGGTAGCGCGCAGGCGCATTCTATGATTCAGAGTTGTCCCAGAAAACAGGAACAACCCGTCTTAGGGGGTCTTTGTCATGTATAGGTGTTTTCTACCTCAGCCCTGCGGGGCCTCGGGAGCTTCCTTCCTGACTACCTCCTGCCTCAGAGGTTTAAAGGAGGGAGTGTTTGCTGCTGGACGGAATCCAAGGGAGCTTCATGAAGGCCTGGATTTGTATCTTGGCTGGAGTCTTGTTGTGTGCCCTTAGGGGTGTATTACTGTCACTCCTCTACGCCCTAGTTTTCTCATCAATAAAACAAATGTACTTAACCTAAAAGGTTCTTGTGAAGACTGAGATAATACAAATAAAGGTGTCCAATCCAGAGTAAGCACTCTAAAATATAAACTGTCGTTATTGATATTACTAATCAAAGCGTGCTGACCTTTCCAGCAGTTATTGTCTGCCCACAGTTCGGTGGAGCAACCGAAAACTTCCTACTCGCCTGAGTTGAAAGGTTCGATACCAGAAGGCAGCCCCCCCTATATGGTTCCTGGTCCAAGCATCCAGGGAGCTTATTCGCTTCCGTCAAATTTCTCTCAGACTTCTAGAGAAACGGTCGGCCGCTCTAGCAATTTGGTCCTCCAGGTGTCTGTGGTATGAAGCCTCGCGCTTGCGCGGTGTGCGCGGCGGCGGGTGGGGGGCGAGAGGCGAGAAGCGGGTTAGGCGAGACGGGCGCGGAGGCTGCTCGCGGAAAAGTGCGATGGAGCGACGCCTTCCTTTGCAGGTAACTGCTCACAGACCCACGCCGGGGAGGGAAGGGTGGGCTTGTCACACTTCAGGCTCCGACTGGGAAGGCTGTCTTTGCGCTTGGCAGATCTCGGTCGTTTAGGGACCCTGTCCGCCGAGGCTTCTCGGAAGTGCAGTCGAGCGCTCGGGCCGCCCACGCAGCCTCTTACCCAGGACAGCACCCGAGAAGGTGACGAACCTTCTGGAGGACCGCCTTGGGCCTCCCTGTCATCTCACCACCTGAAAAACCCTACTCCCAGCTCACCCCGGGGGAATCTTTGAAGAAGGAAAGAGCCCCAGTTTAAGTTGACGAATTTAGCCCTCTCGAGTCCCGGAGTTAATATAGAGGGCTCATCTCCAGGATCTCTGGCTTTTGATGGCACCCTTTAGACACAGGCGCTCAGAATCTCACAGAGCAGGCTGTGTCCATTTGGAGGGGAACTAAGATCTTCAGGTAACTTACCGTGTGGTTTTATTCAGAACCATGCTAAACCTTCCCATATTCGAAAACAGTTGCCATCTACCCTCTCACACCCTTCCTTTGGGTTCCTGTTCCCATGTTCACCCACTTAGAACATGGCCATATATGGCCTCATGTCTGAAGCCATTCATTCTGGTAAGTCTTGCCTGGATTCACTCCCATTTTTCAGAGATTTTCCGAAAACTGAGTTCTTAAAGAACATTGTAAGCAACACAGTTCTTGAGTCAGACAGACTTGAATTGCAGTCCTGGGCTGTGTCAATTCAAATCTGTGACTTTAGATAAGCCCCTTAACTTTGCCTCCATTTTTTCATCTGAAAATGGGATAATCATACTAATTTCCAAGTGGTTGTGGGGATGAAAAGAGGTGAAGTATGAAAAATATTTAGCATGCTACCTGGCACATGGCATTAATACAACCACTGATGTCAGTTATTTTTTGAACAGATAATTCCCCAAGAAGCACAATTTTCTCAGAATCAAATGCAGAATATAATAATAACAAAGCATTTTTCATCAGTCATTCAGGGAAAGTCTTATTAAGTGATGTTACTTAATGCGAGTTCTTGGTGAAGAGAGTACCTTGGGTCAAGTAAAGGTACAATTGCGTACAATCAGTTTGGGAAGCAATGGAACTATATGTCAGGAGCTTCAGAATTGTCAGTTATTTCACAAGTGCACATCTGAAAATTTTCTCCTGGCAAATAGTCCTAATGCAGAAAATATTCACAAAGGTGGTATTATAGCATTATTTGTGATAGTGAAAATATTTAAACTTTCTATAATGGAAATTTTTAACATAAAATCAGAATAGGTAAATGACCTCCACTGCTCGTGACCCATCTTTAACAGTGATCAGTATTTTGCCTATCTTGTTTTTCTCTGAAAAATCGTAAACCTACTAAATGTCTAAAAACAGGAGAACAGTTGAATAAGCCAGGGTACATTTATTTAGAGTGCTATGAAGCTTTTAAAATAATACAGAATTGTATATATGGTGTTATCACAACTATGAAAATTCAAAAACTAACATTCAATCTATGTTTAGAAAAACAGAAAAGTGAATACAATAAAATATTAATTAGTTTCTGTTTGATGGTCGGACTATGGATGATTTTCTCCTTTTCTATGTCTAGATATTTTATAAATATTTCATAAAAATTATATATTGTTGTTATTAACAAAGAAATAACAGACAAAAATCTAAAAATATTGCACCTGAACATAATAGATTATACCTGTTACCGAGAATAACTTTAACTTTCCCTGATCTATTTTTGTAGCCTACATTTACATGGGCACTCTTCTGCCATCTTGTGTTAGAGCTTCATATTCAGTTTATATGGTCAGCTAACATGTCCAAATCTTTAACCAATCATCCTTACGTGTAAGCGATTTGACTCTGAAGTTTTATTCCCTTAATTTTGACTAGCATTCCCCTTCACGGCAGAGTAAGATTTCTTGTGATAGGATGACTCTTTTTCCCATTCCTTCTTTTCCCCAATTCATAACCTTATGAACTTACACAGTTTTCCTAAAACAACCACTTCAAACAATTCAATAAGATAATTTAGTTTTATCACAAAATTTGTCTTGTTTAAATAGATTGTAATGAGAACCAACCAAAAAAATCTATTCTGCTCTTGGTTGATGAGCTAGATCTGCTTTTTAAAGTGATACAGTACATTTAAAAACAACTGGTTACAGGAGGGGGTCACTTTACAAGAAAATGTATAAATGAGTTTTGTTTCAAATCAGTTTGTGAAGAAACTTTGTTTCCTAGGTATGCAAAGAAGCCTTTTTACGCAGATGTCCTTAAAGACAATATGGATCAGTCCGGAGTTCTCCTCTGGGTGAAAGCAGAACCCTTTATAGTGGGTGCCTTACAGGTCCCACCACCATCCAAGTTCAGTCTTCACTACCTCAGGAAGATATCCACCTATGTGCGAATCCGGGCCACAGAGGGAGCTTACCCTCGCCTGTACTGGTCAACCTGGAGGCACATTGCATGTGGGAAGCTGCAGTTGGCTAAGGATCTGGCGTGGCTTTACTTTGAAATCTTTGATAGTCTTGCAGTGAAGACACCCGAGGAGCGTCTGGAGTGGTCTGAGATTCTGTCCAGTTGCACATCTGAGGATGAAGTTGAAAAGCAGAGAAATCAGGTATGGATTTGTATGTATATGTATGTGTATAATTACTTTGGGAAACAAACTTTTTATTTTTAATTTTTTACATACATACTAGCTGTACAGTGTGTGGTTTTAGGTTAATGACCATTGTAATCTCAAAGCACCATTTGGATTTTAGCAATTCCATTTTGGCATTATTTAATGAATTAGTCCTTAGTAATCCTTATTCACTTGCTTCCAAAGTAATAATGTTACAGAAACCCTGTAATTGAAAGAAGGAAATACTTTCATTGACTTTAAAAGTGTTTTGAGGTCAGTGAGTGCTTATGAACTGCTGGTATGAACCACCCGACTATTTTTAAGTGTGCATCTACTGTGTGCTGGGATTCAAAGATTAGAACAGCAGCTCTGCTTTCATGGCTTTATGGAGCTCATAGACTATTAGGGGAAGCTGGTGTGCAAAAAAGTGCTATTTCATAGTGTGAAATGTCCTATAGTAAAATTACGCATAATATACAGAAATAGAGAAGAAAATGATTGATTCTAATGATTGGAAGGGACCTAACAGAGAAAGTATATTTATCAGTATAGGCTAGTTACAGTAACAAGCAATCCAGCATTTCAGTGGCTTACACAAAACAGTTTATTTCTCTCATTTATGCAACAGCGCAACACAGGGCATGTCTAGGCTGCTGTTGTCCAAGCAATGACTGAGAGATCCGGGCTTCTTCTGTCTTTTAGAGCCACAATTGTATTAGTCAGCTTTGCTATAATTAAAAACAGACAAAAAATGCCATTCCAGTGGCTTGCAGTAACAAAGATTTATTTCTTGTTTATTTTATTTATAGGCTGCACCTTAGCTATGGCTCTCTTCCAGGCTGTGGCTTGGCTATATGTTCTTATTTGGGGGACCCAGGCTGAAGAAACAGTTTCCGTGTAGGTCATCTATTCTTGAGACAGAAGGGAAGAGCAACAGAGCAGAAGGAAACTCATGATGTCTCTTAAAACTTTTGCTCAGATATATAACATAAACTATGACTATTTTTATTCTATTGGCTCAAGTTTTGTCGTATATCCATGCCTAAAATCAATGAGGGGGAAGGTACCACCTCACAGGAGGTAAGGAAAATCCCATGGTTCATGGCAGCCTGTTGAAGGATAGGGAAATAAACAGTTGGAAATATAATATAATTTGTCACAGCCTTGCCCACCATGGCCTCATTGTCCTTCTCTTCCATTTCTTGTCTTCCTGTCCTTCCATTTCTTTTGGGAGAGTTTTTGGGAAGCTTGAAAATCGTATGTGAAAATCCACCCACATTTAATTGACTATAACACAGTTATACCATAGCTAACTTGAAGGGAGGCTGGGAAATGCCATCTGATTGTGTGCCCAGGAAGAAAAGAAAAGAAAAGATATTAGCATCTAGCCAGTCTCTGCTACATGGGGTAATATCTAAACAAGGTTTCAGGAGTTGAAAAAAGTTTGGCAAGCAACCAAGAAGGGAAGGGCATTACAGTTATTCATTAATCAAACATTTATTGAGTGCCTACTATGCATTAGCCACAGTAGAGGAATGCTTACTATGTGCTAGATTCTATTCTTGTTAGGAATATAAAAATGAAAAAGACAAGGAGTTTGTGGTCTCATGGGGAAGCAGGTATTCGGAGGAATAATGACAGTGTAACATACAGTTATCCAATGGAAATATGAGTAGAATTAGGGAATTATGCTAAGTTTAAAAAGCCAACCCCCAAAATTTACGTACTGTATGATTCTGTTTATGTAATATTCTTGAAGTGGGTTTGTTTATAAAAGGGCAACATGAAAGATTCTGTGTTGATGGAAATGTTCTGTATCTTGACGGTCAATGTTAATATCCTGGTTGTAATAGTGTATTACAGTTTTGCAAGATGGGAAACTGGGTAAAGTGTACATAGGATTTCTCTTTTAGTTCTTAACAACTGAATGTGAATCTAGTTATCTCAAAGAATTTAATTAAGAAAGTAACATTTTTGAAAATACATGGATTTATGGGGCTCCACATTGACAGTTGATTGACTTGGTCTAGGTGATCCTATGAATCTGTATTTTTAAGTTTGTTAGCAATAGCAATTTTTAGCCAGGTTGGGATTTAGGGTAAACGTAAGTGTATAGTCCCAGGTTTATTACTTTACTTTTTTTTACCTTTCCTATATGTGTATGGGAATGCATATATGAGGATAATCATGAGCTGTAAAACCTGAGCTTCAAACCATACCCTTCAAATAACAAATGACTTATAAAGTCCATCAGACCAATCATTTTTAAGTCTAACAAACATCCCTTTAAGAATTCGATGAAAACTTGACATCTGCTCCCTACAAAATGCACACACGTTGAAAAATTACATAAAATTTTAGGTGTTGCACTGATATTTTAATAGGTCTGTGTGTGAGCCTTAGGTTAACTGACCTCTGTGTCTTAACTAAATTCCCTTCCATGTGTTTATTTATTTACTCATTGCTAAGAATTTTTTTTAAAAACTGTAACTTTAAACTTCTGAAATAATATACTTTTTAAGAAGTATGTACTTCTTTCTTTGTCAGTTTTGGGAAAGAATATCTGTGACTATAGATGCTACATAGCTTTCTGAGAAGGTGACTCCAGTTTAATTAGTTTATTTATTTATTTTTAATTGAATTTATTAGGGTGACATTGCTTAATAAAATTATATAGGTTTCAGGAGTACAATTCTATAATACATCATCTGTATATTGTATTATGTGTTCACTACCCCAAGTCAAGTTTCCTTCTGTCACCATTTTAATTAATTTTAAAAACTGCTGCATCTGGGTTTCAGAGACATATCAAATGCTGGCAGTGTTTCTACATTTGTCTTCCTAGGATCAGCAAACTGGTGTGAATTTTTTTTACTATATCTGTTTAGTTGTAGACTAGTGAATGATGTGATTTTAGGACCTGTGTTCATCGTTTATTTTCTTCTTGGACAGCTTTCAGTGGATACCCTGCAGTTTCTGCTCTTCTTGTATATACAGCAGTTAAATAAGGTCTCCCTAAGGACATCTTTGATTGGAGAGGAGTGGCCTACTCCCAGAAACAGGTCTCAGTCTCCTGACCTGACTGAAAAATCCAGTTGTCATAATAAGGTACTGTTTAAATTTTGATGTCTTTCTCTGAAGGAGACAATTAATGAGGGGAATGGTTTGCCTTCATTAAAAATTATGTTGGATTTATTTATATAAGCCATTGATTTGATGCTTGTTTTGCTTTGTTTTTTACTTTTTCCCCAAATTATAAAACAATCAATATGCAATCTTAATAGAGACAAGTGATTTCAGTTCCTTTACTGACCTAAAAATTACTAATGTGATTTTCAGGCAAACCATTCACTATACTTTTACTAGCATTCCCATTTTTGCAAATGTTAATGAATTTGAATCTACTTATTTGATTAAGGATAAATAAGAAGATTCAATGTTTGCAGAGTCTGTTGAAATGTACTGAAAAAATTCTGTAAAATATCTTCTCATATGTTTAGGTAATATGTTTAGGTAAGTATACTTAAGGTGAGCATGTTTAAGTAATGATTTATGATGTGATATATCCTAGAAGTTAAATTTAACTGTCTCACATTGTGAGCTTTAGAAAATCTTATTTTTTCTGTTTTTTATAAAGAAACCCAAAATGTTTTTATCTGTTTATGTAAAAGTGTTTTTTTAATTGTAAGTAAAATGTAGATCTCAGTAATTTTGCCATGTGCAGACTCTTTAATATCCTTTTTCAGAGAAATCTTTTCACCATTATATTCCATGATGCTATTCCCTCATGGTTCTGCTTCTTATTTGTTCTCATTCTTCATGAGCCTGTTTCCCCCTGGCACTTACAAGCTGCTATTCTCTTAGGATTGTGCCTGTGGCAATTTTGTCTTCTCATTTGGTATATTTATTCATTGTAATTATTTCTCTTCCCTTGACTTCATAATTTCAGTGATTCCTGAGTTTTTCTCCATTTAGATTTCCATCTTGAGATAAATTCCCTATTCTACCTTAAATTCAGAATGTACAAGTCCAGATGTATTAGAGATGCCAACAATTTCCTACTATTTCCACACATAGTTCCTGTTGAATGAATATCATTTAGGGACAGTGTTTTTGTGTGTGTTTGTGTTTTTTAATATACAGGGTCTGGCAAAAGTAAGACCTTACTTTTTTTAAAAAGTAAGGCCTGCTTGAGTGTGGTTGGTAAGGTAATAACATGGTAATAATTTATAGTTTTAATTTGAACATTTCACCTAAAATGTCATATTGTGTGCCTGAGTGTGATATTGTTATGTTACAGAATTATATATCTATGATTTTGTAATAAAAGAGGGGCATTATTTATGCCAGACCCTATATATTTTTTTTTATTGATTATGCTATTACAGTTGTCCCGATTTTTCCCTCTTTGCCCCTCCTCCACTCCTTCAGGCAATCCCCACACCATTGTCCAAGTCCATGGGTCATGCATGTAAGTTCTTCAGGTATTCCATTTCTTATGTTGTATTTTATACACCCGTGGCTATTCTATACCTATCAATTTGTACTTCTTAATCTTTGCACCTTTTCCCCCATTCTTCCTCTTCCCACTCCCATCTGATAATCCTCCAAACAATCTCCATATCTATGATTTTGTATCTATTCAGCTTGTTTGCTTAGTTTCTTAGATTCAGTTGTTGATAGTTGTGAATTTATTGCCATTTTAATGTTCATAGTTTTGATCTTTTTTTTCTTAAATAAGTCCTTTTAACATTTCATATAATAATGGCTTGGTGATGGTGAACTCCTTTAGTTTTACTTTGTCTGGGAAGCTCTTTATATGCCCTTCGATTCAAAATGATAGCTTTGCTGGGTAGAGCAATCTTGGATGTAGGTCCCTGCTTTTCATCACTTTGAATACTTCTTGCCAGTCCCTTGTAGCCTGCAAAGTTTCTTTTGAGAAATCAGCTGATAGTCTTACAGGAACTCCTTTGTAGCTAATTACCTGCTTTTCTCTTGCTGCTTTTAAAATTATTTCTGTATCTTTAGCCTTTGGCCTTTTAATTTTGGTGTGTCTTGATGTAGTCCTCTTTGGGTCCCATTTGTTTGGGACTCTCTTTGCTTCCTGGACTTGTATGTCTCTTTCCTTCATCATATTAAGAAGTCTTCTTTCATTATTTTTTCAAATAAGTTTTCAATTTCTTGCTCTTTCTTGTCTCCTTCCAGCACCCCTATGAATATGAATTTTGGTATGTTCAAAGTTATACCACAGGCTCCTTACCCTATCCTCATTTTTTTATATTTTTTTCCTTCCTGTCATTCTGATTGAATGTTTTTGTTTTCCTTATGTTACAGATCATTGATTGGATTCTTAGCTTCATCCATTCTACTGTTGATTCCCTGTAAATTTTCCTTTATTTCACTTAGGGTAAGCTTCATTATTGCCTGGTTCTTTTTCTACTGTTGAAGTACCCACTGAGTTCTCGAGCATCCTAATAACCAGTGTTTTGAATTCTGCATCGGATAGATCGCTTATGTCCATTTTGTTTAGTTTTTTTTTCTGGAGTTTGTTCTTTTCTTTCATTTGGGCCATATTTCTTTGTCTCCTCATTTTGACAGCTTCCCTGTGTTTGTTTCTACATATTAGGTAGAGCTGCTTTGACTCTCTGTCTTAGTAGTGTGGCCAGTTGTAGAAAAACAACTTGTAAGGTGGATAGGCCGGAGCCTTAGGTAAGTGCCTGGGTGGGGCAACCCATGTAAACCAGGTTGATGAAGACTCAGATACGTTGCCACTACTCTGGCTCTGTGTGGGGGGGAGCTCAGAAAAAGGACAGTGGCCACTGCCTGGCCTCTGGAGTTTTGTCCTGGAGGAAGCTGTCCCTGGCACTTATCCTGATGTCAGACACTTCATTTTTCCCTGTATGCTTCTGGTGTCCTTCCAGCTGCTGGCCCGGTGCTGGAGCCCAGAGGTAGTGAGTCTGTGTAAATTCTGAGACTGTTGCTGGCCTTTTAAGAGGAGACATCTGAGAACCCCACAGTTTCTTCTGCTGCTCCAACCCCCACTGGTTTTATAGCCAGAAGTTATGGGGACTTATCTTCCTGGCACTGGAACCCTGGGCTAAGTGGTCTGGTATGGGACTGGGATTACTCACTCCTGAGGTGTCCCTGTCAATATTTACCCACCACACTTGGGTATGGGACCACTTGTTCCATGTCTCTGCTTCTCCGCCCCTCCTACCGATCTGAATGAATGTGATTTCTCTAACTCCTTAGTTGTCAGATTCCCATACAGCTTGAATTTCTTACGATTCTGGGTGATAGTTTCTTTTGTAATTTCATTGTAATTTTTGCTGTGGTTGTGCAAGGAGGTGAGCCATGTTTACCCATGCCTCTGTCTTGGCCGGAAGTATTAGAGATGGTGTTTTGAACTAAGGTAGACCTACATTCAAATCTGGCTCTACCACTTAACATCACATGATTTTAGGCAAGTCAGTTAACCTCTCCAGGCCTTGGCTTCTCTTCTCCAAATGGGGATGATAAGGCCTATTTCTGAATGGCTGTGAGAATTCAGAAATATGTTAGCATGAGACTTGTTGCATAGTAAGCACCAGTAAATGGTGATTCAAATTTGACCTCCACCAACAACTGCTTAGACCAGGGATGGACACTTGACTAGAGTAGCCATTTCATTGGTATGTATTTAAATTAGCCTGATTTGAAATTATGACCTTTCCTAATTAGTATCCCCAGGGGCTGAAGAAACCAGTTGGTGATGGGTACTTGAGGTGACAGCTCAAATGGCACGAAGTTCATGAGCATCCTGGAGCTATGAGGGATTAGAAAGTCTGAGGTAATCTGAAAAAAAAAAAAGTGAATCAAGCAAACATGCAAAGAAACACTGGGTCCCTGAGACCCAGGTTCTAGATAGCTTTCCAGTTACGCTTTTGATGAAACCTACCTGTACTGTAGTTTAGGAGATGATTGTGTGTCTCTACAGTAAAATCACCCTTTTCTTGAATTAACTTGTATTTCCTGTGCCAGTGAAAGTCACCACCAGCCATCCATGTTCTCTTTCTCATCAACCATACCTCGTTAGTTACCATCTTACTGATTCTGCCTCCAAATAACTCTAAAAATCTGTCCCTTTTATTCCTCTTATATAGGCCCTAATGCAATTTTTTTTGCTTGATTTCTGTAATTAAGTCCTATCTTGTCACCCTGCTGTTAGTCTATAGTCCACCCACTACAATGGACTTTCTAAAACACAGATGGATTATATCCTTTTTCTGTAGAAACTTCATCAGTGAACTGTCATCATTGTTTTCATATAGTACTCTATGGAACTACTGCAGGGCCTACTATGGGGGAGGGCAACTCGGCTAGAGGGAGAAAGAACAGGTGAGGCTGTGGACAGCTCTGCTCTGTTTTTTTGGCATCCAAATTAGAGTTTATTAGAACAAAAGAAGACAAAAAAAGGAGATCCAAGATGGTGGAGGCATAAGTGGAAGCTGCACAAAATTCCTCCCAGAACCAAACTGGAATTACAACTAAATTATAGAGAAATCACCCTGAATAGCCAAGTAAACAGTAGCTGGAGAAAAACCTAATGACCAAGGACAGACAGAAGAAACTACTTCACCACAATGTGACTGGTAGTGAGTGTGGAGGAGGCTAAAGAGGGCTGCCTCCACTCCTAAGGGCAGCAGCTAAAGTGTGGGGGGCTATTTCAGTGGCCAGGGGGTTGCCCCTGAGAAGTGTGGTGTCAAAACCCCAAGTTGGGCTCCCCGATGTACAGCACCAGAGCCGGGAAAGGAATCCAGATAACATCCAGCTGTGAAAAGCAACAGGGTTTCTGTCCACCAGGGAGACAGCTGGAGATGCACAGAGCCTCTTAAAGCAGGGGCTCCAAACCTGCGGTCATGGACTAGTACCAAACTGGGCCTATTAGGAACTCAGCCGCTCAGCAGGAGGTGAGCTTGAATGTAATACACTTGAATCATCCCCAAATTCCTACTGCCACCCCACCCTGCCAGTCCATGGAAAAATTGTCTTCCACGAAACCGATCCCTGGTGCCAAAAAGATAGGGGACAGCTGTCTTAAAGGATCAACGCACAAAACTTTGCAGCCA